GGGCTTGGTCTATCCAGTTTTGAGTTTTTTTATTTGCACCCCATGGTAAGCAGGCTATCCAGAGGGTTCCGGTATTTCAGCAGCTTGGAGCTTGGAGCTGCGGAACCACGCAGTCGTCTGTGTCGGCTGCTAAGCTCCACCCTAAAATAATTTTTAAACATTTGCCCCTCCAATTTAAGACTATGTCCTCTTGTTGTGGTAGTTTTTCTTCTTTTAAACATAGTCTCCTCCTCTACTTTGTTGATTACCTTTATATATTTAAATGTTTCTATTATATCCCCCCTGTCACGTCTTTTCTCCAAGCTATACATGTTAAGATCCTTTAACCTTTCCTGGTAAATTTTACTCTGCAATCCATGAACCAGTTTTGTAGCCCTGTATTAAATATTATATACTCTGCCCTTGGGTTTTTATGCCCAAGATGCATCATATTGCATTTATCCACATTAAATATCAGGTGCCACAACTCTGACCATTTTTCTAGTTTACCTAAATCATTTTTAGCTAAACTGGTGACTAGAGAACCTTACTAGTTGCCAAGTGACTATGAGAGGCTCTACCTATGATTTGGCCCATTGAGTACGTTTGTCACTGAGAGTTGTGGTCTCTCAGTGATGATTAAACAGATTTATGATAGGTTGGCCGTAACAGAGCGGAGATGCAAGGAACTAACTATGATATGGCCCGAGGGGTGATATATCTCCATACTTGGAGATGGAAGTTGGCCTTGCCGGACAGCTATGTAATGGCATAAGAAGCTTAAAAAAATACCTTTGGTGATCTAGGGTACCCTAATAGTCAGACCAAGCTAAAAGTAATGGGTTGTGTTGTGTTTGTGGTGTAATATGTGTGGCTAGAGGCTGTAAAACGTGAAAGAGTGTGTGTATAGGGGATGTAGTGAGGTTGTAGTGAATGTGTATATAAGTGCTGTAGGTGTTGTAAAGATTGTGTGTCAAAGGTGCAGTGTGTGTGAGGGGTTGCAATGTATGTGTGAGCTGTGCAGTGTGTGTGTGAAGTGTGCAGTGTGTGTGAGTGGTGCAGTATGTGAATGTTTTGGGAGTGTGTGGGGAGTATGTGAATGTTTTGGGAATGTGTGGGGAGGGCAGATTAAGACAAATGTATAAGTAGACACATATATATATATATATATGGTATATATGTGGTGTGTGTGTGTGTGTATATATAAAAAAAAAAATATATATATATATATAGATATATAAATACAAAAAATATAGCCGGCACTCACGGTTTTCTCGAATGATTTCTCTTTAATTCTGAATATCGACGTTTCAGCTCCCTAAAGGAGCTTTCATCAGGACATGTCCTGATGAAAGCTCCTTTAGGGAGCTGAAACGTCGATATTCAGAATTAAAGAGAAATCATTCGAGAAAACCGTGAGTGCCGGCTATATTTTTTGTATTTATCAATTTTTGCAACCTGAGCACCAGGTATTTATATTTATGCAGGTTGGAGTGCAGGAATTACCATTTTTCTTGTTCTATATAGATATATATATATATATTTTTTTTTTTTAAAGAATATACTTTATATCCCCCCTCCCTTCCTACCTATGCTTAAGGAGGAGGGACATTACAAAGAAAGCCCTTTTGGTCCTGTGGTGAAGGCCTGGTGTTTCACTGGTGTATGATCTCTACCCTGAAGCTCCTAGGGCTAGAGTTCACATCTCAAGAAATCAGAGCGTGGCCATGGTAACTATAGCAATTATCCAAGCTTGTGAGGGGAACCTGTCGGAGGTAAAGGCTCTCTCCTCTCTGCAGCAGCAAAGTGTCAGTGATGGCACACAAAAGAATCGGTGCTTGGATCGATCATCTGATCAGTTAACTGTTGGTCATATCTAGTGAACCACAGTAACTATGTTGTATAGCTCCACGTAAACCTAATATAGTGAACCAAATAAATATGTAGCGTAGCCGAATGTAGACCAAATGTACTGAATCAAGTAAAATGTAACACGGCCAAATGCACATGTAAGATGGCCGAATGTAGTAAACCAAGATGACTATGTAGTGTAGTCGAATGTAGACCAAGTACTTGAATCAAGGTGAAAATGTGGTATGACCAAATGTAGGTCATTGTACTAAAACAAAGGTTATTGATGTGTAGGCTAAATCTACTGAGCCAAAGCGAAAATGTAGTGCAGCCAAATATAGGTCTAATGTATTATGACCACAGTAAAATTTTAGTAAGGCCAAATCTAGACCGAATGTACTGAATCAGAATGAAAATATAGTGAGGATGAACATAAGTTGAAATACTGAAAACACTGTGAATATGTAGCATGGCCGAATGTAGCTCAAATGTGCTAAACCACAGTAAATATGTAGCATGGCCAAATGTAGGCCGATTGTACTGAAACACAGTGAAAATGTATCGTGGCCAAACGAAGGCTGAAAGTACATAAACACAGTGACTATGTAGCATGGCCGAATGTAGACCGAATGCACTGAACCACTATGAATATACTGAAACACAGAATACCTATATTAAAATGCCAATCTCGACAGTGAGGACCTAGAGAGTGTTAGGAAGGTAAACAACGTGAGTATATTTAGATTACCTAAACTGGCATAGAGAGGCATGAAACGATAAATAAAAACCAATAAAAAAAAAACTACCTGGTATATAGCATAAGAGGTTTTTTTTTATAAATAAGGAAATTCCTGATGTCAGAATAGTGAGAACCTAGTAAACAAGATAACATGTTTGGTAACACAAGAAGCATGGTTTAAGTGTAGAATTGTAATAAGTTAGAAATAAATCATATAGAAATCCCAGATCTTGCATCTCCTTCCACTATTATACCATAGATTTACATACATTGAAAATGTAACATTCATAAACCCATAGCAACATCAGTGAATTAGAAAATAATTCCTGCAAATTTGAGTGCTTAAATGACACTCATTAATCAACAATTGACCCTAGCTGCTTGCCATGTCTCACATTACTAATAATTCCCCCCACATTACTAAAAACAAAAATAGAAAACATTCTACTATAGTCATAACAAAATCACAAGCGAAGCTGGAAAGTTTAAAAAAAAGCCTGCGATCCTGGAACCAGAAGTGACGTGATACACAGAACATGGTTCAAAAATGACGGCAGATTACACTTGGAGATGAAAAAGAAAAAAGGGGCTGGATCACCTTAGTTTTGTGTCATCTGCCAACACTGAAACATGGCTTTCAATGCCTATTTCAAGATCATTTATAAATATGTTAAATAGAAGTGGTCCAAAAATAGAACCCTGAGGAACACCACTTACGACTTTTGTCCAGTCTGAAAATTTACCATCAATGACAAGTCGTTGTACTCTATCCTTAAGCCCAGGGACGTTTTAGCCACGAGGTGTTGTGGATCCAAATCTATCACAGAGGCAAAC